TAAGATGGTGTTCCAGTCGCCTGTTGAAGAGGCGCCGGGGTCTCTGTATTTTCCCGTGCGGCAACTCACTGCGCTGGCTTAAACAGTGGCACTGAGATTCGTGGCGCTTTTTTGCCCTGGAATCTACTGTCTTGGTTCCCTGCTCAGTCCCCTTTTTAAACAGACGAATAGGCGACTTCCCGTGGCTCCAATCGCCAGCCAAAAGGGCACCCAGACCGGTGTATTTTGTACAGAGAACCGCTGCCGTGCCGGGCAAAGCAGTGGCGCCAGCCGGCACAGCCGCGCTGGCCGAAACAGTCCCGCTGGCGACTGGTGGAGCTGCTCCGCCTGGGAATTTCCTAGTCTGTGGGCAATAAAAATGCGGCGTCCTCTCACCCTCTGCTCTTTCACTGGGAGCTGCAATCCTGAGCTGTTCCTAAACGGCCATCTTGGATCCAATCCGGTCTCGATCTCTTAACCTTGTGATCCACCCGCCTCAGGCTCCCAAAGTGCTGGGATTATAGGCGTGAGCCACCACGCCCAGCCCGATTGATGATCTTAATTGAGCCAAAAGGTTCTTCTGGGGCTCCATATCCTAGGCCACTAATGAAAACTAGACACAGCAAGCTAGTAAGTTTTAGTGTCAAGAAAAACTGTAGTGGCTTTGGAAACTTATAGAAAGAGCATTTATATTTCCAGAATTCAAGGAAAAGCATAATTTTTCTGAAGCATTAATCAAGAGAGTTTAGACTTTTGAAATCATAGAGATAAAAAGAGTTTCTAAGGATTAAGGAAGGAGAAAGCTTTTGGGCGTGAGGGAAACCAGCAGACATTTATTTATTGTAAGAGCTTGTCAAGGCTCTTCAGGAAGAGAAGCCAGCTTTTATCATCTGGGGAGGGCTCTAGAACGTAGGGAAGCTGCCGGACCTGGTTTGTAGAGTTCAAAGCATTTGGCGTCTGGCTCCAAACAGAGGTAAAACAAAGGGGCTCACATTTGGTGAATCAAGAGTTCAGGCTCAAAGACCTACCTTGGTAGTCAGAGGCTTCCTAGAGCAAGGGTTGGATGATGACCGATGAGTGTTCTGGGTTCAGGCTGCAGGTACAGATGGTTAACGGTGTTCAGGGAAAGCTGGTGAAAATGTCAAGGTTAGGGGTTCCAGAGAGCCACTGTCAGCCTGAGGAAACTCAAATGGCACCTATCTCCAGATACCCAGAGGCCTGACTGGGGCCTGTCTCTTCTGGGCTCACGTGGAAGCCAATCTTGGAGGAAAAGGGACAGGCAAAGACAAGTCAAGGTGAACATAAGGTGGAAATGGAGCCGTTGAGTTAGAAGGAAGATCTCATCTTGGAATATGGATACATTGTCATTCTATTTTTAATAGTAAAACATGGATTTTGTTTTTTTGAGATGGAGTTTTGTTCTTTTTGCCCAGGCTGGACTGCAACCTCCACCTCCCATTAAAGTGATTCTCCGGCCTCAGCCACCGGAATAGCTGGGATTACAGGTGCGTCCCACCACACCCAACTAATTTTGTATTTTTAGTAGAGATGGGGTTTCACCATGTTGGCCAGGCTGATCTTGAACTCCTGACCTCAGGTGATCTGCCTCCCTCAGCCTCCCAAAGTATTGTGATTACAGACGTGAGCCTCTGCACCCAGCCCAATATTCTTTATTAAAACATTAAACAATATTTCATGATGAAGGATAAGGATAGAATGATAGTAGATAACATAATCCTTAGTGTATGCTAGATGCTTTTCTCTGAAGCATACAAACCGTAAGAATCTTGTCCAGATGACTAAGTATAGAGACAAAATTTGAACTAGGCAATCTGGCTGCAGAGCCTGAGGTGTTCTCAAAATACACTGCCATAAAGGCATTTAACTTAGTCCCTTTTCCTTTCATTTTTTTTTTTTTTTTTTTTGAGATGGAGTCTTGCTCTGTCACCAGGCTGGAGTGCAGTGGTGTGATTTTGGCTCACTGCAACTTCCGCCTCCTGGGTTCACGCAATTCTCCTGCCTCAGCCTCCCAAGTAGCTGGGACTACAGGTGTGTACCACCACACTTAGCTAATTTTTGTAGTTTTAGTAGAGATGGGGTGTCACCATGTTGGCCCCATGGTCTCGATCTCTTGACCTTGTGATCTGCTTGCCTCAACCTCCCAAAGTGCTGGGATGACAGGCGGAAGCCACTGCGTCCAGCCTCCTTTCATTCTTAACTGCCGTGGTTCCTGATCTTTCATATTTATAGATTTAAAGAAATGAAACTTTTGCCTCTGTTTTGTACTTACCTGTTTAGTTGAGTGTCATGCTAAGTTACTTAGAGTCTTCTCTCCTGTATTTATATTGCTTTTCTCAGGTTGTCATTTTCTCATCTTGGAAAAAAACTTGAGAGTAAAGAGACAAAGTGACAGTATGTTCTCCAGTAGCCTTTTTCAAGTTATACTACTTAGTTGAAGAGCATGATTGGTTGTATTGATACATAATAGCCAAAATGGTAATAATTATAGTAACAACAAACAATCCTGATCACCATGTTTATAAATTGAAAAAGCATCGTAAAGCATCATGTTCCCCTTTCTTTCTTTTTTTTTTTGGAGACAGAGTTTCTCTCTGTCACCCAGGCTGGAGTGCAGTCACGCGATACCTGCTCACTGCAACCTCCACCTCCCAGGTTCAAACGATTCTCCTGCTTCAGCCTCCTGAGTAGCTGGGATTACAGCTGCAAGTCACCACGCCTGGCTAATTTTTTGTATTTTAGTGGAGACAGGGTTTCACCGTATTGCCCAGGCTGGTTGTGAACTCCTGAGCTCAGGCAATCTGCCTGCCCAGCCTCCCAAAGTGCTGGGATTCCGCGCCGGCCCATGTTCCCTTTCTGTTCTGCTTTTTCACCCACTTACTGATGAAGAATACAACATAGGAGCCAGCCTATATTGTGATAACGCCAGCCACGCTTTTTGCATGTGAATCTAGTCCTAAACACTAATAATGTATTATTTTTAAAAAGCAGTTGATTTGGGAACTGAGTGCTATTGTTTTAAATGAAAACAGTATCTTGCCAGTAAGAAATTTTGGTTTTGATTATGTGGAACAAACACTGATTTTTATATTTGTAAGGTAGCCATCACTTTGCCTGCTTTTTCCGTTTAAAAACTCTGATACCCAAATAATAGAGTGTTCCCAAGCTGCATCTGTTTTTTAATTTATTTTTGTTTTGCCCAATACGCAAGTGAGTAGACAAAATAATAGTTTTTATTTGGATGCATTGCAAAACGTAAATGTACATTTTACCTAGAAAAAAAAGCAAGACCATTCATTGATTTACTAAGTCTTGTAGCTGCTATACGGTAGATTTCATGAGAAATACGATTCTGTTACCAGATTGCAGCAGGAGAGAAGATTCCTTTGAGCCAGGAAGAAATACCTCTGCACGGCCATGCCTTCGAAGCTAGAATATATGCAGAAGATCCTAACCATAACTTCATGCCTGAGACTGGACCACTAGTGCACCTCTCTATCCCGCCAGCAGACCCTTGCACTAGAATTGAAACTGGAGTACGGCAAGGTCAAGTGAATAAAATAAAGGGTTTCATTCTTTTTAAGTTTTTAGTACATTATTATTTTTGGACAGATTCTTATCCCTGAGTCTTATGGAAATGTCTAGCATATTTTAAAATAAAGAATTTAAGTGATTTCTTGGTAACCATTATTTTTTCCCTTGGAAATTGTTATTTTTAAAGAATAGTGAGTATTTTTAAACAGTGGACTCTCTTTTTTTGGGATTCAGCAGTACTTGGTCAAACCTAACCAGAAAATGTTTCATGTGTACTGTCTTACTTTTTTTTTTTTTTTTTTGGTCTTGCTCTGTCACCCATGCTGGAGGGCACTAGCATGATCACAGCTCACTGAAGTCTCGACCCCCCGACCTCAGGTGATCCACCGACCTCAGCCTCTTGAATTGCTGGCTTTACAGGCATGAGCCACGGCGTCCAGCTGTGTACTGTTTTTTTTTTTTTTTTTTTTTTTTTCACCTTGCCTCGTTCCAAAAATGATTTAAGATAGACTGATACCTGCTATGCTCAAGGCATACTGCCTTCAAGGGACATAAAGTCAAGTTGGAGAATTAATACATAAACTTAGTACAAGCCAAACAATAATTTAAAAAATTACAGGAAAGAAACAGTTGGAAGAGCTGTGACATTTCAGTACATGATTAATGACAGTGGTCATAACTGGTGATTACTTAGCACTTCTTACTGGCACTGCCAGGTGATTTTTCTACATGTGTTCATTTCATCATGAGAACTGCCTTGTGAGTAGGTGTCATTATCATCCCTACTTTTTAGATGAGGAAACTGGAGTTAAGTAACTTGTCCAAGGTCATCCTTGGAGCCAAGATTCAGACCCAGGCAGTCTGGCTCCTGAGTCAGTGCTCTGGAGCCTCCACTGTCTCCTGACGTCTTAATTTCAGTTGATGGAATAAGTTATACAGTGATGGGATATAGCAATTGTCAGGGGTAAGAGCTTACATTAGACTGATATAATCAGGACAAGTTTGTTTTTGTCTTTTGTTTTTTTGAGACAGGGCCTCGCTCTGTTGCCCAGGCTGGAGTACAGTGGTGTGATCTTGGCTCACTGCAGTCTTTATCTCCGTGGCTTAAGCAGTTCTCATGCTTCAGCCTCCTGAGTAGCTGGGATTGCAGGTGTGCACCACCATGCCTAGCAGATTTATTTATTTATTTATTTATTTATTTATTTTGTATTTTTAGTAGAGACAGGTTTTCACCATGTTGGCTAGGCTGGTCTCAAACTCCTGGCCTCACGTGATCTGCCTGCCTCGTCCTCAAGGTGCTGAGATGACAGGGGTGAGCCACCACGCCTGGCCAGGACAAGCTTTTAAGAAGATGACTGGAATGGATTTAGGCAGGTAGATTTAACAACACAGTGAAGAGTGAAGAGAACAGAAAAAAGCATGTTCGAAGAATAGTAAGAAAATACATGGCTGAAGACATGGGTTGAAGGTGAATCATATGGTGTCTTGAAAGCCAAAATGAGGATTTAGGACTTCTTGAAAATAAATTGGCAGCATTTTGAGAGCTCTGGATAAGCCACAACAAGATTTGGTAGTTAGTAGACTTTTTAACTTATCAGTGAAGCGTCTCAACTCTGCTTGTCTCATGGATTCCTTCCTTTCTACTGCAGGCAGCTTTAATCTTATTAATGAGGACTCTGAGGTTCAAAGAGGTCAAGTGACTGCCAAAATCCTGGAAAGACCCTGTAACAATGTCCTTTACAGCACACCACCCACTGGAACCATTTCTAACCAGTGGAATGTCCTCTGGTTCAGATTCTTGTTCTTTAGGACGGTAACCATCACAGTGATGATAGCTGCCGTTGGACTTCAGGGCCCTCATGAATACATTTATGGCAATGGTATTTATCATGCAGGGGTTTATGAGGATTAAGCGTGAAATGTACATAAAATGTCTTGCTCGTTGTGTTTTATTCTTTTATGTTTTGACTTGAAGGGGTTACCATGGTTTTCAATTTCAGGAGATGAAGTTTCTGTGCATTATGACCCCATGATTGCGAAGCTGGTCGTGTGGGGGGCAGATCGCCAGGCGGCGTTGACAAAACTGAGGTACAGCCTTCGTCAGTACCATGTGAGTGACCCGAGGCCATGCCAGTGACCTTGATGTGTTTGGTCAGCACAAGAGGTCAGCCTTTGCCTTTGGCAGGGCCTTGGTCTTGTCGGAGTATTTCCTATTTCCATCAGTTGCCCAAACAAAATAATTTCATAGGGGAGAATGTTGCACAGGCCAGAACAGGGTTTGAGGATTTGTTGATTTCAGTTACAAAAGAAAGATTACGGAAGTATTGTTAGTGTCAGTGCTGTGTTTCAGGGAAGTTCTGTTCACTCTGTAGATAAGGCCAGCTATACATGGTACCTTAGTAGGTTTTTTATTTTTCCTTAGAGCTGCCCACAGTAGAAAATACTTAGGAAATAAAAGCAGGTGTTTTTTTGAATGTTGTTTTCCCTGCTCAGTGTGACCTACTGTCTGGTAATTTTTCTCTGAAGTAAAATAATTATGTTCAGTTCCATCCCTTTGATAGAGTTTGTTATTTTTCTGTAGAACATTAATTTCCTTGGTGCAGAAAGTCCCATACCACACTGATTTAGCTCAGAGAAGGATTTATTAACCCAGTTATTCAACTTGTTATATGTTAATAATTGATCAAAGCTCTGGTCTCTGTGGCCACAATCACACTGGCCGCTTTGCCACTTCTGAGACCCACTCAGCATGGAGCCATGAATTCCTGTCCAGTCTTCCAGAATATTCTTCCCCCCCCACATGATTGCAGGGCTCCCTCCTGGCTACCCTGCCCTCCTGCTCTGAGCCCTTTCCCAGGCTGCCCCATTTAAAGTATGACCTTTTGTTATTCTCCATCCTCGTAGCCAGCCTTCGTTTTCTTGATGGCATATGACGTTGTATTAGATGCCTGTTTACAGACGTTGTTACTTGTTTCCCTAGAATGTAAGCAGAGACTGTGAAGGCAAGGACCTCATCCCTTTTGTTCCTCACTGTGTCCCCAGTGCCTGTATCAGAGCCTGCCACCCAAGAGATGCTCTGGAAATGGCTGTTAAACCAATGAAGGAATGATTGAGTGAATGAAGAACCTACAACTCAGAGCTGGTTTTACTTTCGATCCCATTTATTGGTGTATCTGGGTTAATTTTATGTCTTTAAAAAATTTTTGTGTCAGTATATAAAATTTGGATTTGAGTGTTAGAAGGAAGCTCTTTTGAGGTTATTTAATCCTATCATCTCCCCAGTATAGCAAATCCTGCTTGTGGTTTGCAGTCTTCCTATTCTCTGGAATTATTCTGAGCAGCAAGCCTTCAATACTTTGCAAATGAATTTCATGTATGTTTCTTAACATTGATTACTTTCCTAACCTGAGTCAACGAAGTGCCTCTATACTGCCTACTATAACGGCATTTCCTGCCTCCCCTTTGTCATATTAAAATGTAATTTTAAGTGTTAAGTCTGGATGGATACAGTAATGGACATAGTCATAGTGATGTGAGGTTTTGTTTTGTTTTTCCCGAGAGTTGTCCTGTTGCCACATGGTAACTTAGGAGGTTTTTATTTTTCCTAAGGGTTGTTCATAGTAGAAGATACCTAGATAAAAAGAGCAGATGGTTTTCTGAACATATTGTTTTCCCCACTCAGGAGGAACTGGGGCTTTATTCTCTTCCTAGATTGTTGGACTGCACACCAACATCAACTTCTTACTTAACCTGTCTGGCCACCCGGAGTTTGAAGCTGGGAACGTGCACACTGACTTCATCCCTCAGCACCACAAAGAGCTGCTGCCCAGTCGGAAGGCTGCAGCCAAAGAGTCTTTATGCCAGGCAGCCCTGGGCCTCATCCTCAAGGAGAAGGCCATGAGTGACGCCTTCACTCTCCAGACACAGGGTATGGAAGGCTTTTCCCTTTCCTCTGCTTGTCAAGTGTTGCGAGTCAGCATTGAACGTGCTTTTCTCTCTCTATGGCCCCCTTGCCTCTCTTTTCACCTCTCAGTGACTGACACCATTCTTTGCAGATGTGTTTTTTAGTATGAAGGAAAGCTCTTGGCTTGCCATGGATGCACCCATAAATACTGTTTAACCCATTAACTGTAGCGTAACTAAACACCTAACACTGTAGAAATGGATCTCTTTTCAGTCAAGCACTTGTTCTCCGCACGTCCAGTGCTAACTTCTTACCACTTTGGTTTGTTCGCCACTCCTCAGGGGCCTGCTTTGTTATATCCTCTGTACCTCCGGCACTCCCTTTGTCCCAGAGTGTCAAGACAGAACACAGGAGGCTTAGATTCCCTGGGGTTACCCATGACTTAGTGTCGAATCACTTCTTCCTGTCTTTCCATCCTGCGATTGTCTACCTGGAGACTTCATAGTGTCATAGAATCCAAGCATAGGAAGGGCCATAGCAGGCGTACATCCTGGCTACGACCCACATGCATTCCCTCCCACCTCAGCACACCCGCTAAGTTGTTGCTCAGCTTCTTCCTAACACCCCAGGAAACTGGAAATTCATTACCTCATAGGGTAGCTTAGAGTTTCAGCCAGTTCCCCCATTAGAAAGTTCTTCCCTTTAAATTGATACACAATCTCGGCCTTCACAAACTTGTTGCATTTCAGGCTAGCTCTGACCTTTGGAGCAAACAGAATTTTTAAAAATCTAATCGATTTTTCTCTTTCATTGGTAATTATTTTATTACCCTATACAGTTTGAGCATCCCAAATCCCCAAATCCGAAATGCTCCAGAATCAGAAGGTTTTTGAGCACTAACATGACACTCAAAGGAAATGCCTATTGGAACATTTCAGAGTCCAGATAGTTGGATCAGGAAAAAAAAAAAAAAAAATAAAATAAAAAAAAAAAAAAAAAAAAAAAAAAAAAAAATCTAAAATTCAAAGCACTTCTGGTCCCAAGCATTTTGGATAAGGGATACTGAACCTGTATTATTATAGGATTCCCTATTGGAATCTTTCATTTCTAGATTCATTTACATTCATTCAGATAGCTATATTGAAAGCTTAAAATGTAAAATGTTTTAAGTGCTGAAAGCTACATCTTTAGAAGATTTTATCCTCATTTTATCCTTTCACATTGAATGAAAATGCATCTAAATATGTCCCATGTGATATTCCTGAGCCTGAACTTAACATTTTTAGAATGGAGTGTTCTCTTACTGTGACCTTCCTTTTAAAAGTTTATAATTGGTACAGAGATGAGATTCAGAATAAATTATGTCAGCTTAGCTTTGCTGAAGCTCCTGGATATTGTCCAGTAGAGGAGGTACACCCAAATGCCTATAAAGGGCTAGGCACTGTGGTTCATGCCTGTAATCCCAACAATTCGGGAGGTCTGGGGCAGCTGTATTTCTTAAATCAGGAGTTTGAGACCAGCCTGGCCAACACAGTGAAACCCTATCTCCACCAAAAATGGAAAAATTAGCTGGCCATGGTGGCATGCACCTGTAATCCCAGTTACTTGGGAGGCTGAGGCAGGAGAATCACTTGAACCCGGGAGGTGGAAGTTGCAGTGAGCCAAGATCATGCCACTGCACTACAGCCTGGGCAACAGAGCAAGACTCTGTGTCAAAAAAACAATGCCTCTAAGGGCTGTGCCAACAACACAGAAGAGGAAAAGAGGCCAGGTGAAAGAAAAATAGGGAATAGTAGAGGCTTTAGTGACCTGGAATGAATATGAATTTGCCCCATCAGAGGGGGTGACTGTGGTGTAGCTTATGCCACCACAGGATGAGAGTTTAGACTGCAAATATTCAGATTTTCAGTAGATGCTAGAATTTTTAATATGGAATTCCATAAGATATAAACAAATTTATCTCTTTAAACCTGAAACAATGACTAGCGTTTTATGTTTTCTTTTGTAAGGTGTAAATTTCATAGGCTTGATACTCATAAATTTGTTACTGAATTTTAAATTTTTTCTAGATCAGTTCTCTCCATTTTCATCTAGCAGTGGAAGAAGACTGAATCTCTCTTATACCAGAAACATGACTCTTAAAGATGGTAAAAACAGTAAGTAATGTTTCATTAAAAGAGAAAGGTGAGTCATAGAAATGTAGCACATTAATCTGAAAAAGAGGATTCCAGCCTGGTCATGATCAGTCAGTTACACTTTTAAAATGCGTACCCTGAACATTGGAAGGAAAAATGCCAAAATAATAGAATTGATCAGCTCTGGGTAGTAGAGTTCATGGTATCTGCTTTTCTTCTTTGCAGTTTTCAAATGTTTTGTAAATATTCTAAAAATATGTCATGAAATAAACGTAGCAAAACAGCTGAGATGAAATATGCCCCAGAACGTTAGAAATATGCCCCAAAAAACCCTCTTGTCACCAACTATTCACTTTTTTTTTTTTTGCTTTGCAATTTTTCTGCAGTGAGAATGTATACTTTTAAATAAGAAAAACAATATCCAAAACTATGTCAGAGAGGGATGATTGCCCACTGCTCAGGCAGTGATTCAGGTAGAAGCGGGTCACTAGAGAGCTATAATTTGTTAGGTGCCTTATCTCATGTAAGTTTTTATCTTCACAGCGTGAGCGGGAGTCGCTGTTATACCCATGTATGCATGATGAAAGTGTGGATGATAAGACACGGAAGTGAAGTAATTTAGTTAAGGCCAGCAAGTGGGTGGAGCTGGGATTCACACTCACTCTTTTTGACCTTGACACTCATGCTATTTCCACCATTTTTCCAGCAGAAAATTGATTTTTAATTGTAAACTAATTTGAGTTGGCTCAATTTAGGGACTGGCTTACTTTAACTGAAGTCAAAAGAGGCCGACACTTAAGCCAGAAGGCAGTTTATAAACTTTTGGCTGGAGCAGTGTAGCAGCAGGACCAGAATTCTATGATAGCTGGTCACTGTATCCCTTCTGCTATAAGACAGTTTGTGTGGGAAGCCCGATGGGCACAGAGTCAGAACTCAGAGTGCTGGCTAATCTCAAATGTGAGATGTCATTGAACTGTGACAGTTCTGTTATAAAAATGTGCCTCCCAGGTAGAATCCTTTTGTCAGCTGATCACAGAACACTCTTCTTTGGACAGAGGAAAATTTTTTTTTTTTTTTTTTTTTAGATGGAGTTTTGCTATTGTTTCCCAGGTTGGAGCAGTGGTGTGATCTCGGCTCATTGCAACCTCTGCCTCCCCAGTTCAGGTGATTGCCCTGCCTTAGCCTCCTGAGTAGCTGGGATTACAGATGCCTGCCAGTACGCCCAGCTAATTTTTGTATTTTTAGTAGAGACGGGGCTTTACCATATTGGCCAGGCTGGTCTTGAACTCCTGACCTCAGGTGATCCACCTGCCTCAGCCTCCCAAAGTGCTGGGATTACAGGCATGAGCCACTGCGCCCAGCTGGAAAATCTTTTTTACTTCACCTGTATGAAGACACTCACTCAGTAACAAATATTTTGTTCACACTAGTTTGTTGGGTCATAACTCCAGTTATTTTTCAGTCCTGAGCCTAGATGGTCATTACCATAAGTACATTGGGCATATTGTCAACCCTTTATAACAAAAATTTGTAGACATCCTTTATATAGTAGCATTCTGCAAGTAGCTAGCCCATCCATTGGGGGCTGTCTCTTTTCATCGTAAAGAGACAGCCCCCAAAATCTGGAAGTATCTTACTCTAGACTCCTATATGCTACATACAAGTATCAAAAGCAGTAAAGTTTCACTGGCCCCTTTGACCAGAATTAAACAGAAGAATTACATGTGTGATTATAATTCATATAAGCCAACTGTGTTGTTTGGCATGGCTCTTCATTAAAGCACCAAGCACTAATTTGAAGTATGCTGGGGTTTTGGAATTAAAGTTTTAATTAAAAAATAAATACATAATTGAAAAGCCAACATGGTTGCTGTTCACTACACACTTTTGGCAATATTTTATGAAAATAATCCAAGTCTGTATGAAACAGCTTTCAGAAAAGGTTATATAGCTAAGTCTCCAAAAAATGCTAATTAGCAATGACGAGAATTAAATAAAGAAAAGTGCAGGAAACAGGAAGCTTAAGAGACCAGGCCAGGCACAGTGGCTCACACCTGTAATCTCAGCACTATGGGAAGCTAAGGCAGGAGGATTGCTTGAGGGCAGGAGTTCGAGATCAGCCTCGGTGACATACTGAGATCCTGTTCCTATTTATAAAATAAAACTTTGTTTAAAAAAAAAAAAAAAGATACTGGCCGGGCGTGGTGGCTCAAGCCTGTAATCCCAGCACTTTGGGAGGCCAAGGCGGGTGGATCACGAGGTCAAGAGATCGAGACCATCCTGGTCAACATGGTGAAACCCCGTCTCTACTAAAAATACAAAAAATTAGCTGGGCATGGTGGCGCGTGCCTGTAATCCCAGCTACTCAGGAGGCTGAGGCAGGAGAATTGCCTGAACCCAGGAGGCGGAGGTTGCAGTGAGCCGAGATCGCGCCATTGCACTCCAGCCTGGGTAACGTGAGTGAAACTCCGTCTCAAAAAAAAAAAGATACCAGAAGCATTTATGAATCTAAAGCAGAAGCAACTTCTAGTGACCTCAATGAGAATGACCAACTATTTTAAGTATTCAAGGCTTGAAAACTATTCTTACTTTGCTACTAGAGGTCATGTTTCACAGAACCCTGCCCAACTTCAGTGATAATAATTGCTAAGATTTATTGAGTATTTGGTATATGTCAGATACTATGTTACACATTTTCCAAAGATTGTTTCATTTGCATTTTCAGAACAGGCCAATGAGATTGATGTTATTATTAGTGTCAACTTTGTAAATTACTACTCTTTCTATACCAAGGTCAAGGTTCAGAGAGATTAGTAATTTTCCAGAAGTCACACTGAAAGTAATTGGTGGAATCAGGATTTGAACCCACACTCCAGGATACATGTGCTAACCTAAAACTGCACACATGCACACACTCGCATACCCTATTACATGTATAAGAGGATGTTTAAGGTCTCTTGTAGGTGACAAGAGATATCTAGGGTAGGAGTTTTCCTGGTAGTGTCTTTACTGCGATCTGCTGGCATTCGTGCTAGTTAAATGCATGTCATATTTTATAAATTCAAAGAAAATGGCTGTGGTGTAATTGGAGGCACCTTCTCCTAAGAAGAGCTAAAGCCTGTTAACATGGTAAGTCAGGGTGGAGAAGTTTCATTCATTTATACATTGAGTACAAAGTTTTTGATAAAATAGATATGCCAAGTGATGTGGAAAAGAGGGAAGAAAGGCTTTGTCCCTGTTTTTTTTTCTCTTAAGGAATTTACCATTTGGAAGTGTGTATGTTGAGAAGATGGAGAGCGTAGTGGTTGAGAGTGCAGGCCCTGGAGTTCACGTGCTTTAGTATTTGACTTTTGTGAACATTTTTATTTTGATAATTTTTCTGAAACAAGTGATAGGAAAATCACTCTTTATAAACCAGGATGAGGGGAGACTCATAGTGGTGTTTTGTACGCAGAAGAGGGAGAATTAACTCCGGCCAGGTGGACTCTTCCCAAGGACAGCGAGCCTGATGTGAATAGGCGGGGTTTCTGTGCTGTGGCTGGGCACCAGCAGTGTAGTGGAGGAGAAGCGTTCAAGCAATTCTCCTGCCTCACCCTCCCATGTAGCTGGGACTACAGGTGTGCATCACTACCCCCAGCTAATTTTTGTATTTTTAGTAGAGACGGGGTTTCACTATGTTGGCCAGGCCGGTCTCAAACTCTGATCTCAGGCGATCTGCCTGCTTTGGCCTCCCAAAGTACTGATATTACAGGTGTGAGCCACCGCCCCCAGCCTGGGGAATGTTAATTGTCCCATTTTCACATTTGGTTGGAGCATCAGGCCATCCATGGAGGAGAATGGTAGGAAATAAGACCAAGAGGTTGGGACCTTCAGTATCAGGCCAAGTATTTGGAATGGGGTCAGGACGTTAGCTCTGAGTATTGAAATGAGAAGCGGGAAGATTCCAGAGGACCTCCTCAGATCAGCCAGGCCTGAGGCAGTGGGGCCTGAGGCAGGGGAGAGCAGTAGGAATGGCAGGAGAGGTGCATAGGACAGGTATTTAAGGGAAGAATTTGGCAGCTTTGTAGTACCTGTTGCATGTGGAAGGCAAAGGAGAAGGACGAGGCAAGGATGACTTTGAGCCTGGAAGACAAGGGGCATAGGGGTGCCAGTCAGGGAGCTCAGGTCTGGAGGAGAAGATGATTTGTTGGCCCTGCCATGTGCCTCTGAAGTCGCCAGTGGAGGATCCAGCTGGAAGTGACTAATCAGAGGTCACCTGGAGAAGGAAGGCTAGGGCTGCAAACAGATTTGAACTGGCAGCATCAAAATGATCGTTGAAGCATCAGAAGCAGACAAATTGATTTTTACCTATGCACTGTACCCCACAAAACTTTAGATTTTCGTCTCCTCGGATAGTCAACCAGTTCCATACTCATGTAATCTGGGCCTACTCTGGAGTTATTTCAGGTTTGCTTACAGACCACTGCAATAAAGTGAGCCAAACAAAGGTTTTGGTTTCCTCATGCATATGAAAGTTATGCTTATAGGCCTGGCATGGTGACTCACACCTGTAATCCCAGCACTTTGGGAGGCTGAGACGGGCGGATCATGAAGTCAGGAGTTTGAGACTAGCCTGATCAATGTGGTGAAACCCTGTCTCTACTGAAAATAGAAAAATTAGCTGAACCGGGTGGCACACACCTGTAATTCCAGATACTCAGGAGGCTGAGGCAGGAGAATCACTTGAACCTGGGAGGTGGGGGTTGCAGTGAGCTGAGATCACTCCAGCCTGGGTGACACAGTGAGACTCCATCTCAAAAAAAAAGAAAAAATTATGTTTCTATTGTATTGTAGTTTATTGTGTGCCAATAATATTATGTCTAAACAAACAATATATATACCTTAATTTATAAATGCTTTATGGTTTAAAAAAAAAAAAAAAAAGCTAATGATGCTCTAAGCCTCCAGTGAGTTGTAATCTTGTTGCTGGCGAAGGGTCTTGCCTCAGTGTTAATGGCTGTGATTGACTTAGTGTGGTGGTTGCTGAAGATTGGGGTGAGTAGCAATTTGTGTAAAATAAGACACCAAGGAGGTTTGCTGCATCAGCTGACCCTTCCTTTCGTGAAAGATTTCTCTGCAGTGTGCAGTGCTGTCGAGATGCAGCAATTCAGTCACATATTCAGGCTCTACTTCCAATCCTGGATCCCTTGCTATTTCTACCACCTGCAGTGACTTCCTCTGCTAAAGTTTTGAACCCCTAAGTCATCTGTGAGGCATTCTTCCAAACTCCTGTTAATGTTGATAATTTGACCTCGTTCCATGAATCACAAATGTTCTTAATGGCATCTAAAAAGTTTTCAATTTACTTTGCCCAGATCCATCAGAAGACTCACTATCTATGGCAGCTATTGCCTCACGAAATATATTTCTTAATAAGACTTGAAAGTTGAAATTACTCCTTGATCCCTGGGCTGCAGAAAGGATGTTGTGTTAGCAGGCGTGAAAACATTAATCTCCTTGTACATCTCCATCAGCGCTTGTGGGGAATGCTCCCGTGTGAGGCCCCCCGAAAATGGGCCTCACAATATGGAGGGCTCGAGCCCAGACACAGTGTCTCCAGTTGAGGGAGTCGAGCTATCGGAAAGCAGGAACAGAGAAAGCCTTAGGTTAAAGTTAAACTTGTGGGCAATCGCCAGATGGCCGTGCAGTCATGAGATGCGTTGTGTACGATAATTGAGTTTTCTACTAAGACATGTTTTACGACTTTGCTGATTTTCTCTAGAAGATAAATGACTTACCCTTAGATGAGATAGTGTGACCACCTGTTCTGGTTAATTAAATGACTTGCCCCTAGATGAGATAGTGTGACTACCTGTTCCGGTTAATTGTGTATCTGACCTTTCCATTGTTCTTACCCTATGATGTTGATTTTTCTACTTTAAACTTTCTGTACCCCTTTGTCTCACGTAGACACATACCTAAAAAAGATATATATACTGACCCTGAGCACGAATAAAGTTGTTGTAAAGCATATGCTTTTCAACCCTCCAGACCCCATCTGTCTACCATTCTTTGTCTTCCGCGCACCCCCCTATCCAAGTTGGAACCCTCTTGCAGGTCGAGAGCTCCTGTCAGACGTGCTCCCGATAAGCGCTCTTGGGTGGTGACTGTATGCATTGTCACTGAGTGATAATATTTTGAAAGGAATTTTTTATCTGAGCGCTATTGAGTAGATCTCAACAATAGGCTTAAAATATTCAGTAAACCATGGCATAAACAGAAGTGCTATCATCCAGGTTTTGTTTTTCCATTTATAGGGCACAGGCAAATTTAGCATCATTCTTAAAAGCCCTAGGATTTTCAGAATGGTAAATGAACATTTAATTCAACTTAAAGTCACTGGCTGCATTAACCTCTAGCAAGAGAGTCAGCCTGTCATTTGAAGCTTTGAAACCAGGTATTGACTTTTCCTCTCTAGCTTTGAAAGTCCTAAATGGCATCTTCTTCCAATGGAAGACTGTTTTGTCTCCACTAAAAGTCTGTTGTTTTTTCTAGCCACAATTATCAATTTTCTTAGCTAGATTTCCTGGATAACTTGCTGCAGCTCCTCCATCAGTACTTTCTGCTTTATCTTGGTCTGTGTGTTAGGAAGATGGCTTCTTTCCTTAAACCTCATAAACCAGCCTCAGAAAATCAAGGCCAGAGAATTAATGAGTCAAAATGAGAGAGGTGATCAGGTGGCAGAGGTGGCAAATTCTAGTCTGAACCAAAAACTTCTCTTTACCAGTTCATTGCCTTTTTTTTTTTTTTTTTTTTTAGAGGGAGTATCTCACTCTGTTGTCCAGGCTGGAGTGCAGTGGCATGATCTAGGCTCACTGCAGCCTCCACTGCCCAGGTTCAAGGGGTTCTCCTGCCTCAGCCTCCCGATTAGCTGGGATTACAGGCACATGCCACCACACCCAGCTAATTTTTGTATTTTTAGTAGAGACGGGGTTTCACCATATTGGTCTGGCTGGTCTCAAACTCCTGACCTCATGATCCACCTGCCTCGGCCTCCCAAAGTGCTGGGATTACAAGCATGAGCCACCGCACCCAGCCTGCATTTTTAAGGTTACAATACTGCAGCCTTTTTGTTGAGGGAAAAATATGTAAAATATTCTACAACCTTAAAATATCTAAAACCCAAGGCCAGATGCAGTGACTCATGCCTGTCATTCCAGCACTTTGAGATGCCTAGGCAGATGGTTCTTTTGAGTCCAGGAGTTCAAGACCAGCCTGGGCAACATGGCGAACCTCATCTCTACAAAAAATATTTAAAAAACTAGCCAAGCGTGGTGGCACGTCTGTAGTCCCAGCTCCTTGGGAGGCTGAGGTGAGGGGATCGCCTGACCCCAGCAGGTTAAGGCTGTGGTGAGCCGTGATCCTGTCACTGCACTCCAACCAGGGTGACAGAGTGAGACCCTGTCTTAAAAACAAACAAAAAAAACCCTGAAATTCCGTTTTAAAAAAGAAAGGTTTGAAGTTCATCTTTCTTGGTACTAGCCTGACAGATGCTTTTCTAACAAAATACTTTATTTCCAAGAAATTAAAAGATGTTGATTTTCCTTTGAATAGTTGGTTGTCTTTAGGTTGAGAGTGAGATTCTTTATATCTCAGTTATTAAATAAATGTTTCCTAATTTTTCTTTATTTTTTCCCCTTTTTCCGTGAAGATGTAGCCATAGCTGTAACATATAACCATGATGGGTCTTACAGCATGCAGGTAAGCCTTGCTGGTTTTGTTCTACAGTGCAGAGCTGAATCTGATCTCTTTTATACTGAATAGGGTCTTTTTCCACTCTCTGGTTTCTCTTAAGCCTTTGACTATTATGACTGCAGTTAGGAGAATATCTTATGCCTTTATTTCAGACCCAATTTGGGGAAATTACCCCCTATACAGTTTCTAACTGATTGCTTATTCGGTTGGGCTGTGGTTCCCTTAAGAATAAAAACTTGGCAAAAAGTAAAAGCTCGAATCAGACATTCACAGGCCCCTAAAGTATGTGCATGTATTTACATCAAAAGCAGCAGTTCTCAAATTGTTTGTCTCAGGAACTCTGTACCCTCTTAAAAATACTCACCAGAGCTGTTTGGTTTGTGTTTTATATCTCTTGTTATTTACCATTTAGACTATTTAACAGAAAATTTAATTTTTTATTATTTTTTAATTGTGGTGAAATACACATAATATAAAATTTATCATTTTAACCATTTGCATTCAGTGCATTCAAGTTGTTATGTAACCATTGCACCCATCCATCTCCAGAACTTCTTTCTTCTTGTGAAACTAAAATTCTGTACTCACTGATTAAACAGTAACACTCCATTCTTTCTTCCCCCGTCCCCTGAGAACCACAATTCTACTGTCTCTATGAATTCGATTCTTCTAGGTACCTGATAGAAGTGAAATAACGTAGCATTTGTTCTTTTGTAACTGGCTTACTTCACTTGGCAGAGTGTCTTCCATGATGTAGCATATATGAGAATTTCCTTTTTTTTTTTAAAGGCTGTAAAATACTCTGTTGTATATATATACCATATATTCTTTATCCATTCAGCCATTAATGAACATTCAGGTTGTTTCTAGCTTGGCTATTGTGAATAACGTTGCTGTGAACAGGGGTGTACAAACACGCTGTTTTTTATCCTTTTGGATATATATCCAGAAGTGGAATTGCTGGATCATATGGTAATTCTGATTTTTTGCAAAACCACCGTACTGTTTTCCATAGCAGCTGCACCAGTTTACAGTCCCGTCAGCAGTGAACAATGGTTCCAGCCTCTTCATATCCTTGCCACTACTATTTTCTGGGGTTTTGTTTTTGGTTTTTTGTTTTATAATAGCAGTCCGAATGGGCGTGAAGTAGTAGTATCTCACTGTGACTTCAATGTGCACTTCCGTAACGATGGATGATGTTGAGCATCTTTGCATGTTCTTACTGGCCATTTGTATATCCTCTTTAGAAAAATCTCTGTTTGAGCCCTCTGCCCGTTTCTTGATCTAGTTGTTTTGTTGTTATTGTTGAGTTGTAGGATAAATTGAAAAAAATTTTAAAACCTAGTAACAAGTACACATTCCATTAGCCATCAGATTGACAACATTATCACACATTCAGTAGCCTCTGGAAAATTCCATTGTGTATTATGAGAGAATGAGGGTACAAAAAACAAATAATATCTTCATCTTTTTTTTTTTTTTTTTTTTTTTTTTTTTTTTTTTTTTTTTTTTTTTTTTTTTGAGACAGAGTTTTGCTTTCATTGCCCAGGCTGGAGTGCAATGGTGCCGTCTCAGCTCACCACAACCTCCGCCTCTCGAATTCAAGTCATTCTCCTGCCTCAGCCTTCTGAGTAGCCAGGATTACAGGCATGCTCCACCACACCTCGCTAATTTTGTGTTTTTAGTAGAGACAGGGTTTCACCATGTTGGTCAGGCTGGTCTCGAACTCCCAACCTCAGGTGATCTGCCCAGCTCGGCCTCCCAGAGTGCTGGGATTGTAGGCATGAGCCACTATGCCCAGCCTTAGTCTTATTATGACTTTATGAATACTCTTAAAAAAGGTATTAGGGACCCAAGGAACACCCAGGTCATATTTTAAGAATCTCTAGCATAAAGTTTATGGTAGTCCTTAATTAAAAGAAGACCATTACATTGGCAAAATGGAAGGCTTAAGTAGTCAAAGGAAAAAAAAAAGTGGGAATTCAATCAAATTCCTATAGTAAGGTACAAGTTTAGGGAATAGAATAAATCATTTTTAATATGAGCTAAGAGATTTCAAATCCTGCACAGATTTATCAGTGATACGTGTTAGACCTCCCTGCATTTTGAGACACATTGATTTTCTTTCTCTGAGATTGAAAAAAAAACCATGGAAAGTCTGCCTATTTGAGTATGAGGATTATAATTCATATTAATGCCTCTGGTTTGTTTGAGATGATTTCTTGTCCCTTGGTAGCTGGTAGGTTGCCAGTTTGTTCTAATCTGCTCGTGGAACTACATTTACAATTTCAAAATGTTGTTTTCGTGAATCTTTAAACAAAACTGTTTCCATTCTAACCTTTATGTCCTGAGAATTTCACAAACATTCAAATGGCTGTTTCAGTAGGTTACAAAGCGTAGTAAAATGTCATATTTAACTTAGGATAGATGAGAACCAGTGTATAAATATTGCAGTGTGACCTATTTCACCTTAGCCTACGTAATATATTTGAAAAGAATAGCCATGTGACTTCTACACTAGCATTATGGGAATTGAAATGAAGACTAGAGAGAGAAGATTTAAATGGACTTTTTACCTAAGGGAAATTTTAAAACAGAAAGTTTCCATGTCTTTTTATCAGCTTCCTTGAAATATTGTGAACTTTGTTCTTTGGCATGTGATCTCTTAGAGTGAGAAAATTGTGGCCAATCTCCACGTAATTTATGTTCTTAAATCATAACTGAAACTCATGAATTAGACCTATGTGTTGATGACATAAAAGAAATATCATCTAATTACGTGGTTCTGGTTTTTTTTTTTTTGTGACTGGCACAGGAAAACTTCAAATACTCAGAAATGAGTTTATATTACAAACATGTAATATAAACAAATTTTAATAATTTTGCATAGCTTGTTTTTTTGTTTTTTGTTGTTGTTTGTTTTTTGTTCTTTGAGATGGAACTTTGCTGTGTCACCCAGGCTGGAGTGCAATGGCGCGATCTTGGCTCACTGCAACTTCCACCTCTCGGGTTCAAGTGATTCTCCTGCCTCAGCTTCCTGAGTAGATGAGGTTACAGGAGTGCGCCACCAGGCCCGGCTACTTTTGTATATTTAGTAGAGACGGGGTTTCACCATGTTGGTCAGGCTGGTCTCGAACTCCTGACCTCGGATGATCTGCCTGCCTTGGCCTCCCAAAGTGCTGGGATTACAGGTGTGAGCCACTGCGCCCAGCTGATTTGTATTTTTATTTCTTATTTTTAGTGCTATCTTTATATGTTTAAATGAACCTTTATCTATAGCATGGTGCTATGGATATGCTAGATAACTTTTTTTTCCTTTTAATTGTCATTCTGTTATTTCTGTATAAAATATCTTGGTTAGGAATGGGGGAACGTTTCATGATTTTTTTAAAACAGTATTTTATATGTTTAAGACACAGTTTATGTTTTAAAACTACTAATAGTGAAGAATTGGTCCTGACCTTATTAATTCTGTAGGTTTTCCGTTTATTTTAAAGATCTTATTTTTCGTCTTTTTCAGATTGAAGATAAAACTTTCCAAGTCCTTGGTGATATTTACAGCGAGGGAGACTGCACTTACCTGAAATGTTCTGTTAATGGAGTTACTAGTACAGTTAAGCTGCTTATCCTGGAAAACACTCTTTACCTATTTTCCAAGGTACTGTCTGTTCTTTATAACATCAGTCCTGGGGCATGGGAGAAAACTGTTTGACCAGAGACATTTCACTGAAAGAGATTAGAAAGATCCAGCTTCCTTCGAGCACTGCTGCGACCCTTTTTCTCTCAGTTCCCTTGCCATTCTGTGTTTCTTTGCCAAACTCCTGCCCTCTCCAGTTTCCCATTCACTTCTCTCGTTCACACAGATGCTCATGGATATACACATACCCATTTTCTTCCTGAATTCTGAAACAAATCCTTACGCTTTCTTTGTCAGAGAGTATTTCCCTGCTCCTTGGGTGGTATTATCTCAGGGCTTTGATGCCTGAACACTTTTCCCCACCCACCATCCTCCTGACAGCTGGAATCCTGGTGATTTTGGAGGAGGTGCCCACTGGAAGAGGGGTCTGTGGACCAGATGTTCCTTGTGGGGAAGGTGGACAGAGGGAAGGGGCTGGCATGAGCGGTGGTCTCTGGACAGTCAAAAGATAGTCAAGGCAGGCTTTGCATGGTTTTGGTTAGGAGCCTGCTGCCTGGGCAGAAGGAGGATAAGGGATTATCAAATATGTTGTGGCCTCACAGTGCTTTGTGATGAGATTCCTTTAGCATTCTAGTAATTAAACTACTATATATGGCGCTGAGGATGATCTCACTTTGCCAGGCACTCCTTCCCATCGTCAGCGATGCTGTAGTAATGATGATGATAGAGGCCGTGTAGTGGAATGGTGAAGAACACAGCTCTCAAGTGTGCAGCTCCTTTGGTTCAAATCTTGGCCTTGCCACTTAGCAGCTGTGTGACCTTGGGCTGTTAACCCACCTGGGCTTTAGTTCTCCTATCTCTAAACAGTAATCATAACAGCAATAATAGCAACAGCAGTAACAACAGGTGCAGTGGCTTGTGCCTGGAGTCCCAACACTTTGGGAAGCCAAGGCAGGCAGATTGCCTGAGACCAGAAGTTTGAGACCCGTCTGGCAACATAGCAGGACTCCATGTCTACAGAAAATTTTAAACATTAGCCAGGCATAGTGGCGTGTGCCTGTAATCCTAGCCACCTGGGAGACTAATGCAGGAGGATTGCATGGGCTCAGGAGTTCAAGGTTGCAGTGACCCATGATTGTGCCACCACACTCCAGCCTAGGTGGCAGAGTGAGACCCTGCCTCTAAAAAATAATAATAAGGTGATGGCTCATGCCTGTAATCCCAACACTTTGGAAGGTTGAGGCAGGCAGATCACAAGTTCAGGAGATCGAGACCATCCTGGCTAACACGGTAAAACCCTGTCTCTACTAAAAATACAAAAATTAGCTGGGTGTGGTGGCATGCGCCTGTAGTCCCAGCTACTCGAGAGGGTGAGGCAGGAGAATTGCTTGAACCTGGAAGGCGGAGGTTGCAGTGAGCCGAGATCACACCACTGCACTCCAGCCTGGGCAACAGAGTGAGACTACATCTCAAAAAATAATAACAATAACAATCACAGTCCCTTCCTCATAGAGTTGCTGTGATGATTAATGACATAATATATGTGTGTTAAAAATAGCGCCTAGCATACTGAGCAGCTGAGAGTAGGGATGCTACTGAAAATGGCTTCCAGTCAGTGGCCACTTGTTGTCTACGGGTAATGCTTTATTTTTATTTTATTTTATTTTTTATGAGATGGAGCCTTGCTCTGTTGCCCAGGCTGGAATGCAGTGGCACGATCTCAGCTCACCACAACCTCCACCTCCTGGGTTCAAGCTATTCTCCTGTCTCAGCCTCCCAAGTAGCTGGGATTACAGGCACACACCACTATGCCTGGCTAATTTTCGTGTTTTTAGTAGAGACGGGGTTTCACCATGTTGGCCAGACTGTTCTAGAACTCCTAACCTCAGGTGATCCACTTGCCTGGGCCTCCCAGAGTGCTGGGATTAGAGGCGTGAGCCACCAGGCCTGGCACTAATTCTTTAAATATACTGTGAGGCATGTATACCGTTACCCCTTTACAGTGGGAGACCAAGGCTGAGAGGGATTTAATAATTTGCTCAAGGTCGTAAAGCTAGAGTAGAACACTGGTATAATGGTGACTAATTTTTTTTGAGTCAGAGTCTCGCTCTTTCACCCCGCTGGAGTGCAACGGCACCATCTTGGCTCTCTGAAGCCTCTACCTCCCAGGCCCAAGTGATCCTCCTGCCTCAGCTCCCGAGTAGCTGGGACTGTAGGCGCTTACCACCACACTGGGCTAATTTTTGTATTTTTTGTAAAGATGAGGTTTTGCTGTGTTACCCTGGTCTGGAACTCCTGGGCTCAAGCCATCTGCCTGCTTCGGCCTCCTAAAGTGCTGGGATTACAAGTGCAAGCCACTGTGCCTGGCCATGATGACTCATGTTGAACAAATAGCTGGGAAACAGTTATTACCTCAGGTAAATTAGTAAAAATACAGTGATAGGATCTTGATTCCATTTTCAGTTTTTTTCTATTTCTAGGAAGGAAGTGTTGAGATTGACATTCCAGTCCCCAAATACTTATCTTCTGTGGGCTCAGAAGGAACTCAGGGAGACCCCTTAGCTCCTATGACTGGAACCATTGAAAAGGTAATCACATGACATCTGTAGAATGATGTTCAGTAAGCTTTAATAAACGGCTTTGTGAACTTTGTCATTTATGTCCTTTTCCCTTTCTAAACCTTGCTCATGGGCAAGCTGTAGAAGCATCCACTTAAAAAAACAAGAGGATCTATTACAGATTCAAGTTTTGTATTACAGTCTTCAGTGAAAATACCCATTTACCTAATTTATGATAAGTATTGCCGTTTTTGAAGGCAGGAATTTGCATCAAAGTACCAATAATCTAAATTGTCTTTTTATGATTAAAACTGAACCTTCATTAAGCATTATTCAAAAAAGCTGGTTTTGAATGTTTAATAGCAGCAAATTTTTCATGAAATAATGACATTTTCTTTAGTGTACATAGTTGCATCTGTGTTAAAATGTTAAATATGTTAATAGGCTGGTATCGGTGAAGAACAATGTGGTTTGGTGTTGAATGCAGTATATAATTCAGAGTTGCAGTCCATATTGTCTGAGTCAGTTCAGGCTGCTATCATGGAATACCATAGACTGGGTGGCTTTTAAACAATAGAAATTTATTTCTCATGATTCTGGAGAATGGGAAGTCCATCAAAGCACCAGCAGATGAGGTGTCTGGTGAGAGTCTACTTACTGATTTCATAAACAGCATTTTTTTCTCTGTGTGGTCATGTGATGGAATGGGCACAGGACCTCTCTTCAGGCCTCTTTCATAAGGGCACTAATCTCATGCATGAGGGCAGAGCCCTCATGACCTAATCACCTGCTAAAGGCCCTACCTCCAAATACCATCGTCCTGGAGGTCAAGATCTCAACAAATGAACCCTGGGAGGATTATAGACGTTTAGACCCTAGCACACACTAACATAACATCAAATGTGATAGATCAGTATCCGTAGCCTCCTTTTTATAGATTTGAATACAGTAGAGTCTCCTCCAATATGCTTCAGTCATAAAAACTCAACCGTATACTCTTGGAACAACAAAATAAAGAAGAAAATAACGACCTAAATAGTGTGGGTGATTTGAGCCACCATTCTCCTTTGGAAATATTTACCTGCAAGTGGGTCTGAGCTGGGAGACCTGGATCTGCCTTTAGCTCATTGGATTTCAGTCCCCGCAGGCCTCTCATAGTGTCGGCATCTCTGCACAACTCTCTGAGTCTCACGCTTAGTAACCATGGGAACCAAAACAAAAGTGAGACCATGTAGGATATATGAGTCCATGTATATGTATACAAAGGAAAATAGACATTTATTTCTGGAGTTGCTAATAAGTTTAATTCTGTTGCATGAAGATTGTCTTCACATTTACTACACAGGTCTCTGAAGAGTTCACACTTACTACACTTGGTCCTAGACAACCCCTTCCCTACTAGCAATGTGTCTTGTTTGTACATTCTTGAAAAACATGAAAGGATATCAAAGTATATGGAGTATATTCATGTGATTCAAGCAAAACTAAGTGGTTGTGGGGGTGGGGACAGGGGATTAAGCAGTGCTGCCCACCGACCACAGTGCCGGCAATGCCAGATTGACCTGTAGGTCTCCGATGTGACCAGTACATTTGTCTTTGGCAGATAACACAACCACATAGACTCTACTTCAGCTCTGTAAGCTGATAGACCAACTCTATGGGCCACAAAGGACCTCTGTCTTGTTTTCTTTCTTTTACTTGATATTTTATTTTGTATATTCATGGTTTACAACATGATGTTATGAGTACATATAGACAGTAAAATGGTTACTATAATGAAGCCAATTAACATATCTAGGACCTCTGTGTTTTCAAATTATTAACCTGTCACACTGACTTTCAAGGTATTTGTTAAAGCCGGAGACAGAGTGAAAGCTGGAGATTCCCTAATGGTTATGATCGCCATGAAGATGGAGGTAAGTGAAGTCATGAGTTCACTTGCTGAAAGGACTTTGGGAGTGATCAGACTGAATTGTTCTTTTGCCTTATTCTGTAAGTTAATACCACTTTAGATATGAAGAGCCATAGATTGATGAAGCATTAATTGTAGGAAACAAAACCAAACTATCCTTCTTGTGAAAGGGTTTTTATTTTAATTTTGTGAAATTGCACCTGTCATTTCTGATTCTGGAATTATCGACAGCTTGGAATCAGGCAGTAACCCAACTGAATGTTAACTGTTAGTATTTTCTAAGGCTGAACCAAGGATGCCAGGTGTTAGTTTCAAAGTGAAAACCTCAATCAAGTTAAATTTGCTGTTTAGGTTTTTAGATTGTTCAAATGGTAGGTCAGTGATTCTTAGCCCTGGCTGAATATTGCAGACAGTCCTCAACTTCCAATGGTTCAGTTAAGGACTTTTCAGCTTGACACTGGTACAAAAGCCATCCACGTTGAGTATGCTCCTTAACTTACACTGGATTTATCTGGACCTGACCCCGTTATAAGTCAAGGAGCATGTGTACAGTCAGCTGGGGAGATTTTAAAAACTGCTTCCCCAGACCAGTTGAATTGTGATCTCCAGGATTAGGGTCCAAGGATCAGTACTTTTGAAAGGCCGGGCACGGTAGCTCACACCTGGAATCCCAGCACTTTGGGAGGCCAAGGCAGGCGGATCATTTGAGGTCAGGAGTTCATGACCAGCTTGGCCAATATGGTGAGACCTCATCTATATTAAAAATACAAAAATTAGCCAAGTGTGGTGGCGTATACCTGTAGTCCCAGCTACTCTGGAGGCTGAGGCAGGAGAATCACTTGAACCTGGGAAGCAGAGGTTGCAGTGAGCTGAGATTGTGCCACTGCACTCCAGCGTGGGTGACAGAGTGAGAGTCTGTCTTAATTTAAAAAAAAAAAAAAAAAAAAACATGAAAGCTTCCTAGGTAGAATTCTAATGTGATGCTTGAGTTGAGCACTGCTAGCTACACCAGAGCTCCCCAGTCATGTCCTTGAATGGGTACTGCTGTGTCCGAGTGTGGATTCCTCTCAATCTGTCGCCCTTCTCCCTGTGTGCTATGGTGTTGAAAACAACAACAGAGCCTTGGAAGGCACTGAGTGACAGGCAGCATCACGGTTGGCCACAGTTTTCGTTTTCAATCTCCCTTTCGTGACTCGGTATAGACTCGGTCCTCATTAGTATTGCAGCTATCATATGTCCTGTTTTGTGTCTCTGCAGCATACCATAAAGGCTCCAAAGGATGGTACAGTAAAGAAAGTGCTCTGCAGAGAAGGTGCACAGGCCAGCAGACACACTCTGTTAGTCGAGTTTGAGGAGGAAGAACCGGACAAAAGGAACTCGGAATAAACTGCAGGAAGGAAATGGTCAGTGAAGTAGTGTCTTCTCGCTCCACCAAAAAGAGAAACTGCCTCTTGCTTTTCTCGGGGTCTCTTAAGGCACAGTTTTACTAAATGATCGTATGCTTGTGCCTTTCACATTTGAAAATCATGCATCTGGGTCACAAATATAAATTATCTCCAAAATTTCCTACTAATAAAGTTGAATCATTCTTTTTTATTGGAAGCTAATGTTTGTTTCTGCCTCAAATTTTATACAGTGTATTCTCTTTGAGGAAGGGGGGAAGAGAAAAGGTCATTTAACTGATGAAGTAATTTCCAGTTGCAGTTATAATGAAAATGGGCAGCAACATGTTTCAGAGACAGATGTCCTGGAGCTCAACAACCAAGGTTTTGTCTGGTCAAAAGTAAGATACTTACTAGGTGGTTTAAAGACATGGAGATTAGCCAAGCGCGATGCCTCATGCCTGTAATCCCAGCACTTTGGGAGGCTAAGGCGGGAGGATCACTTGAGTTCTGGAGTTTGAGACCAGCCTGGCCAACATAGTGAAACCCTGTCTCTACAGAAAATAAGCTGGTTGTGGCGGTATACACCTATAGTCCCAGCTACTTGGGAGGCTGAGGCAGGAGAATCACTTGAACCTGGGAAGTGGAGGTTGCAGTAAGCCGAGCCCACACCACTGTACTCTAGCCTGGGTGACAGAGCGAGACTCCGTCTCAAAACAGATACATAAATATAAATTAATAAAGACATGGATATTGTTTCTAGTGTTTGTAGTTGGAAAGTTTCTATCTAGATTGTCTCTGCCTTTATTGTACTTTCTAAGCTTATAAAAATATATATTGTATGCTATAATATATTAATACTTAATATAAATTTTTAGTAAACTTGAAAAGTATAATTTTACAGAAAAAGCAGATAAGGGTTAAAAGCCAAAGGCTGGGCACAGTGGCTCAAGCCTGTAATCCCAGCACTTTGGGAGGCCAAGGCGGGTGGATCACGAGGTCAAGAGATCAAGACCATCCTGGTCAACATGGTGAAACCCCGTCTCTACTAAAAATACAAAAAATTAGCTGGGCATGGTGGCGCGTGCCTGTAATCCCAGCTACTCAGGAGGCTGAGGCAGGAGAATTGCCTGAACCCAGGAGGCGGAGGTTGCGGTGAGCCGAGATCGCGCCATTACACTCCAGCCTGGGTAACAAGAGCGAAACTCCTTCTCAAAAAAAAAAAAAAAAAAAGTTAAAAGCCTCAGTCTGCTGAATACTTTTTTTAAATATACTTTTTTCATTATGGAAAAGAAAAGTTCAATTTACTTGTATCTAGATTTTGTGTTACTTTTACTAACACGTGCAGCCCTTTGCATTTTTATATAATCATTGCAGTGTCAAATATTTGTTGAATTGAGTTCTTGCTGAATACATAAGACTGTGCTAAATGTTGTGGAAAATACAGAGAAATATAAAAGATGGTCTCTGTACTTTTAGATGCCTATATTGGAAAAGTAAACATGATCATGTCTGCCATGATTAGAATGTGTCTTCTGTATTTCATGTGTTAAGAACTTAATACCCAAGTTCATGTGTTGATGAGAGGTAGGACTTTTGGGAGGTAATTAGGATTGGATATGGTCATCAGGGTGGGGCCCCCATAATGGGACTGGTGGCTTTAAAACAGGAAGAGAGGCCAGGCGCAGTGGCTCACGACTGTAATTCTAGGACTTTGGGAGGCCGAGGTGGGTGGATTGCCTGAGCTCAAGAGTTCTCAACCAGCCTGGGGAACACAGTGAAACCCCATCTCTACTAAAAATACAAAAAATTAGCTGGACATGGTGGCGGGCACCTATAATCCGAGCTACTTGGGAGGTTGAGACAGGAGAACCGCGTGAACCCAGAGGCGGAAGTTTCAGTGAGTCGAGATCGCACTACGGCACTCCAGCCTGGATGACAGAGTGAGACTCTGTCTCAAAAAAAATAAATAAAAGAGGAAGAGAGACCTGAGCTGGCTTGCTCTTGCCCTCTTGCCCTTTGATGGCCTCTGCCATGTTATGACACAGCAAAAAGGCCCTCACCAGACACCAGCCCCTCAATCTTGAACTTCCCACCCTTCATAAATTTCTTCATAAATTATCCAGTCTGTGGTAGTCTGTTTTAGCAATGTAAAACAGACTATGAATAGACTATGACAGTGTCAAAAGTTATAGTTTTAGCAATGGAGGCTTTTCCCCTTTCCAAGCAAAACTTTCTCTGTTTAAAAGAGGGAAAAGCAAAGGTGCTGTGATGGAATTTCACATTGCTGTTTGCCCCCTTTCAGAGATTGCTGTTTGTATCCTTCAGTGGAACATGGTTGAGTTCTCTGTTTCATTGTTAAGTAACTGTGTTGGGGATATGTATATGGAAAGAATTCAAAGCCAGCTAGCCCAGTTACCCACATATGTGTAGAATTCTTTCAGATCTTCGCCAGCTCTGGTGCTGTGTGAGCCGAGTTCTTTTGCACATGAATGCATATGTTTATTCTACAGAGAGTTTCAGAGCATTTGCTGTATACTAGAGCCCCTGGAAACAAAGATGGTAAGAAATGATTTCTGCCTTTGCCCTATCTAATGGGAAACAGGATCCAGATGCGTAGAAAAATGTAACATAGGCCAGGCGTGGTGGCTCATGTTGGTCATCCCAGCACTTTGGGAGGCCAAGGCAGGTGGATCACCTGAGGTCAGGAGTTTGAGACCAGCCTGTCCAACATGGTGAAAACCCATCTCTACTAAAAATACCAAAATAAGTTGGGCATGGTGGCAGACACCTGTGGTCCCAGCTACTCGGGAGGCTGAGGCAGGAGAATTGCTTGAACCCGGGAGGCCGAGGTTGCAGTGAGCTGAGATCGTGCCATTGCACTTTGGCCTGGGCAATAGAGTGAGGCCCCATCTCAAAAAATAATAATAATTGACAGTGGTATAATATACCTGTCTACTAGGTGCCATGTGCGGTCAGGTGAGTGAAATGCTAAAGTCTGCTTTGGGTCAGGAGGCTGAGGGAGAGGCAGTGATGTTTGAACTGGGCTTTGGAGGATAGCCATTTATTTGCCAGATGGAGAAAGGAGGCGGTGAGTCCAGGCCATTGCAGGCAGAGAAACTAGCATGCCTAGAACGGTAAGGCATGAAGGCATGCAACGTGTTCAGGGCACAGAGTATGTGGCCTGGGCCACTAGTTAGAGAGAGGCAAGGGGACACAGCTGCCTAGCAGTAACAGCTAGGCAGAGGACTTGTCCCAGAGGGCTTCATTCTGGAGGTGGCAAGGAGCTGCTGGAGATTTTCAACTAACTTAAGTTTTCAAGTTGTGTAATGTCCACAGTCTGGAATATAGACTGGAAAGTAGAGAGAGACTGGAGACAGTCCCAAACAGACACCAGGCATGTGGGCCAGGCTGGCTGCAGCGGCTCAAGCCTATAATCCCAGCACTTTGGGAGGCAGAGTTTGGAGGATCACCTGGAGCCGGGAGTTGGAGACCAGCCCCACACCACCTGCCTCATTTATCTACAAAAAAAAACTAGCCAGGCATGGCGACACGTGCCTGTAGTCCCAGATACTTGGGAGGCCGGGGTGGGAAGACCACTTGAACCAAAGAGTTTGAGGTTACATTGATCTGTGATCACATGCCACTGCACTCCAGCCTGGGTGACAGAGTGAGACCGTGTCTCAGAAAAAAAGAAAAAGAAGGAAAAAGTGCAAGCCTGGGATGGGAGGTCTGGGTGGTGCACACTTCGGTGCACATCTTGACTTAAAAGTACTTCTGCCTTGTATAAGATCCATTAGAGGCATGGACCAAAACAGAGTCATTAGTTGGGGGAAAAAAAGAAGCTTGCTACCTTCTTTTTGACAGTAGCATGGCTCAGGTATTTAACAACCAAGAGAACAACAAAATTTAAGAACCCTAATGATTGCTTTTTGATCACAGGGGAGAACACAGCCTTGCAGTTGAAATAACAGCTTTGGAGTTAAAATTCTTGCATTCAGACCCTAGCTTTGTCACTTATTAGGGTGTATTGCCTCGGACAAGTCATTTTCACCTCTCTGAGCTTTATCTGTAAAACTGAGGTGGCAGCACTACCTCACAGGCTTGTTTTGAAGATTAAAGGAGAAAATGTAGAGGTTGTCTTTAACATTGTACCTGGGAAATCATTTATACTTGTCTGGTAGTTATTACCAACTCTGGTTATTGCTAGGGAGTAATTAAGAAACTGCTGTAAATTCAGCCTGGCTGGTTACTCTTGCCAGGAAAAATCCCAGGCCCCAGGATGGTGAAAAATCTTGCCTGGACATGCATCTCCTCTGTCCCCTCTCTCCCCTCCCTCCCCCAGCTGTAGCCTGCTCCCGTGTGACCCAGGCACCTGTCAACCCCTGACACACTGTCGCTGACAGACCCTGGGGGAAGCCTCAGTCAGTAGCTAGAGCTGTGTGCTGGTGGGACAGCAACATGCCCGGAAACAGTTCACTTCTTCATGAAGGCTGGGCCTGGGCTTGTGCCACCTGCACCATCGGTTGTCACATGTGGAGCTGGTGCTGGAGGGGAAGCCTGTGTCTGGCTCGAGCCTCAGTGTGGGCAGGCATCACACCTGCTGGGCAGCAGAGCAGGGCTGTCTTTCGTTTAGCTGAACTCTTTTCCCCTTTTTCCCCTGCCACAATCGACTTCTCACTCCTGCACACTTACTGTTAACCCTCAGCTAGTTCTCTTAGGAATATTAGAAGGTGCAATGTGCATCTATGCCTGCCTAGCCACGGCACTTCTGCTGTGGTCATGAAAATATTTACAGTGTTGACAGGAATGTTTGCATTGGTATTGCATTTTCATCAGAGGATCTCAAAAAAGCACATGTAGATATTCACACTAAGCTTCTAAATACCCCAGAAGAGGAAAATGTGATTTAAGCTGTGTGGTAGAAGAGAAGATGGCTGTCGCCAAATGTTTTGCTCCTTGGTTAGTGCAGAGAACCTTGGGGTGCCAGTCCCCTCCTGCTAATGACACATGGTCCTTGAGGGCTGGCCCCCAAGATGCTGCCCCTAGAGGTTAGTTGTTTTTCCCCACCAGACTGGGAGTATCAGGCATCCCAGGAGGTCCTGCCTACAGCTCTCAAAGCCACAGGCTGAGTGGAAACACTTTGCCCATCCTCCCCCAACCTCTGTTGGGGGATGCCATTCCTTCTGGACCAAGGGGTGCCTGGACCTTTTGGAGATGATAGCCCTGATGCTGATGATTATCTTGTCGCCCTGACATTTGCCTCCCATTTGCTGGATCCCCGGGGACTCAGAATGCCTCGGTGCCTCTAACGGGCTCAGTCTCCTGCAGCGAGTTCCAAGTGAAGTGTGCACTCTCCTCTGCAGCCTCCAAGC